CCCCAAAACCCCAAAACCCCAAAACCCCAAAACCCCAATGATATGATATTTATATAAATTTGAGGAATTATAATTTTAATTGAGTAAATAATACTTTAAATTGTACAAAATGAGCCGACTGACAGTGCCATAAAACTAAGACAAAATAAGAACTCTTCAGCCTAAATTGAGGAAAGTTGAGCCGGCCCATGACGATGGAGACTTATCCTCAGCTGATGAAAACTATCATTTCATCAAGCTTACTGAGAAGCCAAACGGGAAAAAGTTGCGTTACTAACCCTTGAGATCAGAGCATCGCAGAAACTAAAGCTAGCAGCAGTAGATCACCAATAATATGAAATTGTAAAACATGGAATAGCTCCCTGACATTCTTTATGCAAACAGCAACACTGTCAGAATGAGGCCTGTTGACTTTGACAAGATTTACTCTTAAGAGGAGAAAGACACTAATGCCAAACTCATTGGCATATTCTTTGATAAATATAGAAAGCTCAAAAGGCATGCCAATGGAACCATGCTTATTAGGAGGTTCGTTTCTCCCATTTACTCTTCACTTAAACTCAGAAATTTGTCTAAAGAGCAAAAGGAGACCAAGGAAAAAGCCATTGAAAGATCTTATGAAGTCTCACCAGATATAAAACAATGATTTAGCAATTAAACTATTCTTGGATTTCTCCCTAGTATTACAAATCAGAATAACTTGTAAATCCAGGAAAATGACTATAGCTAAATTGACAGCAAGCATACATTGAATGAATAGAGTGATAGGCATTCTCAAAACAGATCAAAGTATGCGGCCTCGGTAACTTAAAGCAAGGATTCTTAGTTCTTGTTTGGTAAGTAGAACGAGGTATTTCACTCAACTTATATTGAGAGAATTGAGCCTTCGCATATTTATTAAAACTATGATGATGATGATCAAAACAACAATGAGAACGAATATTCAAATGAAAATGAAAAAAACAATGATAACGAGAATTACAATTAAGTTGTGGCGAGTAATGACTATAATGATGAGCAGGAGAAACTAAATGCCTTAAAGCATAGTTCAATAAGGAAAATGCCTGCCTAGTCCCCAAAGATGTATGAAAAGGACTACACTAGAATTCAGATCATTAAGGAAAGAAGCAAGAATATAAGCTTTACTGGAAGATCAAACAAGAATTACATTACGCAGCAGTATAGCAATTTGGCTAATTCTATTTAAGATCAGAAGAGCACTGCAGGTAATAGCGTAAATAATTCACGCGACAATCGAGTGACTTTTTCTGATCAAAAAGAGGAGATGAGGATCATTGCTCCCTTTGTCGAGAATCATTTTAGATCAATGAGTAACAAAGAAGAAGTGCTGATGGCTCATGATTTTAAGATGAAGAAGATTCAGCAGAAAAAGTAAACATACATTCAACAGTGGGACAATTTTGAAAATCAGACTCAGCATTACAGTAATTTCCTTGCTAATGCTGGTCATGATAAATCTCAGAATTTCAAATTAGTTGGGCTGAGAAAGTAATTTGACTCTGGATTTTATTGATAGCTTACGCCTTTATAACAGTCCTACTGAGTCCGCAACTCCATAAGCTTAAATGCATATGAAACATCTATTATTATTCTTAATTTCTATTAATTGCCAATTCAATATTTGATGCTATCTTTTGGGGTTTTGGGGTTTTGGGGTTTTGGGGTTTTGGGG